ATTGCAGTGCATACCATATAAACTCATCATATAAGATAGGTTTACCTCTGTTTCAACTTTAACTGAGTGTTCGATAACATTATTTTCGTGCCTAGATATCTCAATTCTAATTCTCGCATTTTAGTTGGTTGTTCTATTCTTGAACACCTAAGAAGCTAAAGATATCATTCTAACCCTATTACAACTGTCCATCTTCGAGCACTGAGTGTTGGTTTTATCGATAACAATATTTTTGGGTTTCGACATTTAAATTCCAAATATATTAAATTTGATGAATTTTAGCTAAAAAGATATGTATTTTTTCCAGTACTAAGTATTTGGTTTTATAATACCATTTAGGTTTTGTGCCTAGACAACTAAATTCCATTACGTGCATTTTGGTTAGGAAATTACTCTGTTCCTCTACACCTCAGAAACCAATTAAAGGGATGTATTAAAATCTATGTAGTATTAAATTGCATTGTGAACTTATTAAGTTGTAGTGAGACATTGAGACTCTTTATAATAATGATAGAATATTGATCTATGGAAGAATGACAATAAATAATACTTGTATGTTATGTATGTTACAATGTTTAATTTGATTTGTATGAGGATTTTATTGATTTTTTATTTACATTCTTGATATGTGGTGACATATGAATAAGACCTTTTTTTTTAAATGTGTTGAATATTTTAAATAAAATTTATTCAAATTAATTAAATAAACAACAAAAGCATTCTTTTGATTGGATTTTCCTTTGTCAAACTGATTTTTAATTAAATTTCGTGCATCATAAATATTAGCAACTGCGAACTGAAGGGCTTGGTAGCTAGCATTCCTTTCATATTTGTATATATTAATTAAAATTGCTATTCTTTTAAAAAAGTTATTGAATAAAAAATAAATTTTCTCATTTATTGGTGTCGAATACGATACAAAATCTGTTTTGCAATTCATTCATTAAATTTTAATTCCATAAAATTTTAAGATTCCGAAGTTGAATAGATGCTCTCTTTGATGGTCCAACTTTAAATATGTATTAGTTGAAGTATACCTAAAATAATTGTAATCGGAGCCATTCTTTAGCCTTTAGTGTACCTATATCGTGTTATTTCACTTGAGCGTAATGAACCTAATACCGCATTTTAAATGACTTAAAAGGCTCTCAGCTGAATGCACTTCTAATCTGCAGTGAAGCAATTTAAATATTTGAATTTTTATCGCTCACTTTTTTTGTTTAAAATTTGTTTAAACTCTAAACCGCTTTACACACAAGAGCCCACATGTCCAATACTCCCCGCTTCCATCGTCTAGCTCAATTCCAAACTCCAACACCTGCACACATATAAACATAACTGCTCGCTCGCCACTTTCCCAAATCAACTGGTTTTGGCTCTGCTTTAAGCTAGCAAGTAAGCAGACAAGCGAGCAGCGAGTAAGTAAGCAACAAGCGGCGAGCAGCGAGCGGCGAGCGCACTTTATCAGTAAACGCGAATATGATTTTGTCAAGTTGTGAATTGTGGATTCTTTACCCACTTGTCAATTGTTTACTAAATATTATTATGTTTTCTCCGGCGATCGAAGTTGACGGGGATGGAGTACGCAGTGTGCTAATGTGCTGTCTTTCGTGTTTTTGTAGTTCGTGTTTTTTCGTGTTTTGTTTGTAGTTTGTTTATAAATACGTAGATTCCCCTCCACACTCGCACTCGCACTCGTACTAGTACTAGCTCCAGCTCCAGCACCAGCACCAGCACTAGCTCACACATTTTTATGTGCTTATGCATGTGCCGTTTATATGGTCTTTATGTGTACATGCTTACTGTTCGATCAAATCTTTGGAATGCGGACAATCTGGTCAACAAATGGAATTTTTACGTTAGCAAAACTTGTGAATGCGCCGAATAGGAAAATGCTTACCACAAGTTAAGCTAACGCGCAAAACCAGGCAAATGAATATTAATTAATTATCAGAACGGGGCGTTATTATTTTAATATAGTCAAATATCTATATATATCGCAACTTGTCTTATGTCTTTAAAATATTGTTTACCATTTCTCCAGCTTTGGAGTTGTCAGGAAAAGTTCATTAAATTAGTTTAGAGCTGGAAGTATGTCTTCAGTGAATATACTTTCTACCAGAAGATTCTTCTAAATAATGCCTATCAATTACCAAGTTTTTGAAATTGTCAAATAACTTTATCAAATTCAACTAAATGTAATTTGATCCAATGCAAGAAACATCTTCTTATCTGATGGTTCCTCTACCCAAAGTTTCTTTAAAATAATACTTATAATGTTAAATAGTAGTATTAAATACTAGAAAGTTTCATTGAATTGCTATACTTAAAATTGGATACAATGCATTAAACAGGTTTTTAACGATTCGTCCTCTAGTAGAAGATAATTTCAATGATAATAAATGAAAATATGTAACCTTTGGCATAGCACAATTTTGAACAATCTTTACATATAGTTATTCAACTAATAGATTTTTCAATTTAACTAGTTTTAAACACAGATTAAACACTAGTTTATTAACTAGATACGCAGCTAGTAGTTAACATAGTTTTAGCACAAAATGTTTCTAGCACCTTCATGTGATATTCATTAAGTTAAAAATGATACCGTTTGGTTTATGAATGGTCTTAATTTGCTAAGGTTAGATGTGAAGACTTTCTTTAGGGATAGCACATTAGAACTCATTGATTTGATTACTGAACATGATTTTGTTAACTAACGTCTTACAAAAATGACAATAAAGGCGCTGACATCAGCATATTCTGTGAGAATTTATCATATGAAATTTAAAATGTATTAAAAAAATGAAATGTTCACACGGATTAAATATTGTTTTAGTTATTTATTTCATAATTTGGTTTTCTTTTTAGAGGTTTAAGCTATAAAAACTGTTGCATGCTTTAAGATCCCATAAATTGAGCACAGAAGAATATTAACTAATTTGGAAACTCAAATTAAAGAAGAATTAAGATATCACGCGCGTATATATATATATATATATATATATATATATATATATATATACACACGAATATATAAACCAAATTATATGCATTAATATAATAGTATAATTACATTATTTAAGAATTACATTAATAATGTAATTCTGTATTTACGACCGGGTAACGTCAGCATCAAAGCTTTATTATAGCTTTCATGAAGACCGTTTATTACGGATTTTGTATTAACAGATAAAAACTGAAATATTACGGTCTTTGTTAAGTGCGGTCTTTGATAATACGATCTTAAACCATTTAAGCTTTCGCGAAAAGCTTTCAATTTGCGTTGCTAAATTAGTTATTCGGTCTATTGTGAATGTTAAGATATTTACAAAATATTATAAAAGCTCTTAAGTATTTCAAAAATTCTATAAATATTCTATAGAATATACTTAATACCATAAATGTCAATAAATATGCATGCAAGTTAAGTACCTCAAATATACATTGATGTATCTGAAAATTCCGTTACAAATAGTACATAGCTGATACAGCACATTCTTTATTCTTTTATTTACACAGCTGCATCAAGAGTTTAAGGCTCAAGAGCAGATCATATATACAAATTTCTTAGCTCCATAAATTATACTTTTATTATAAACAAAAACATGTAGTTTTGCTAAGCTACAAACTGTACTGTAGCTAAACACTTTAAAAATAATATATACAATTGGCTTAGGATAAGAAAACTTCAAAACTGTATTTTTAGTTTTTAAGAAACGATGAATAAATAAAGTCGCATTTTTTAAAAAAACTCTTTCGAGTAGAAATAAAATTAATTTGCATTTATATTTATTTATTTATTGTTCTTACTATTATATAAATAAAAAATAAATATATAAAATAATAAAAAATTAAAAAATAAATATGGGAATGAAAAAAAATAACTGTTGAATTAATTATATCTATGAAAATAAACAAAATCTATTGAAGAAAAACAAAATAAATAAAATCACATTCTGATATCAATTTTGTATATTTAATTCTCGATTTTATAAAAACATTTATTCAAATTATTATATCAATTATTTAATGCATTACTTACAATTAATTAGTTAAATAAAAATTTAAAAGAATAAACTGAGACATGAACTTTTAATTAAAATTTTTTGCTTTCAGAAAAAAAAAGGAATTTATAAGAAATTTCAAACTAAACAGTGGCACAAAATGGATATTCTATAAGAATATATCCGTATCACAAAGCATATAAATTTTTATTGAAACATATTTTAATATTGCAAAACATCTTAAACACAATATACCACATTAATTATTCACAAATCATCTGACATAAAGTTATTATGCCATCAAAACTGAACGATGCATTTTTAATCGTTGGTCGTAAGTTTACATACGACTAACATGGTCGTAATTCATCCAAAATAGTTTTAACTCAGGGGCACACCTAGAAACCAAATACCTATGGAAACAGTGTAATTCTCTGGAGGAAATCTATGAAGAAGACGACCAATACGCATCTCAACGTCAACATGAATTTAAAGAAACAAAAACTGGTGCCCTTCTATCAAAAAAATAAATATATATATATATAAAGGTGCAATGAAATAAATTAAAATCAAAAATCATATTAATAGAAGTAAATATTTTTTTACTTACTCAGCATATTCTCCAGTATGACTTTTCCTTAGACTAAATAGAAACTGATTTAATTCTAATAATTAACTCATTCCTTAATATAGAAAAGAGATAGATCCGATAGATTTATCTCTGACATATAGAGAAATAGATTCGATAGATCCAATTATTTCAAATAACAAAATCCGGCTTAATGTAATGAGCAAAGCCAATATTGAGCAAAATTTATCTTATGAAAAAATCCACCTTTTATTTAAAATGTCATTGACTTTTTGTTATCGTCAAAGAATTTCTTAAGTTTGCAATATTTAAGTGATTATGGTTAAAACTTTGAATGCAAGAACTATTTTGTTTATTTTATTGAAACAATATATTTTAATATTAGATATTAACACATTTTAGAATATTAAGTACATTTTTCATTTATAATTGCCAAGGTCCATAACAAATTTTTATTATTCCAAGTGATGTCTCTTATCGTTTACCGAATCGCATATGTCCGTAATCATCAAACTGTTCATCACCTCCTCGTTTACCGAACCTCATATGACCATAATCGTCAAACCTCTTCGATCTATCGCCTTCATCATTCTCTACAAGCAAACCCAATTCCATAGGAAACTTGACACGCGAAAATTGCAACATGTTTGGACTAAATCCATAAATAGATCTAATGTTCCGCCTGTCTGGTAGAACTTGAGCAGCCGCCAAAATATTTCGATTTTGATTATTTATGTTACTCGTTTCACGTGTTTCCGTTTTAATGGTTTCCAGAGAATTTGCGAAGCTCTGTGGTATGAGTATATACCAACAAAACGAGAACACCATTAAAATAATGGAGAACGAATTTTTTGGTACTTCGGACATCTTTAGATGTTCGCCTCTGGTTCGCTATAAACAGAATAAGACGATAATATAAGTCTTGCTCTTTTTATATAAAAATACTGCACTATTATTTTGTAACAATTTTCAAATAAAACAACCATAATAAAATTATTAATATTTTTCCAGGTTTTATTATGCAAATAACATCTCAGCTTAAATCCTCAATGTTTTGCCGTGAACAACCTAAAGTCAACAAGGTGAAGATGATAATTGACATGTAATTGACAAGAAAAAGGCGAAGGCGCAAAAATAACTTCTAATAAAATTGTTACGTTTTGTAAAATCAAATAAATTAAGCTTCATCGAAAATAATTTATGATGCCTTCATGTTCCTTCCCGATAACGAAGGATAAAATTATCACAATGTCATAATCTACGTGATGTACTCTGTATACAAATAAATTTTTTTACAAACATTCAGAAGTTGAGAAATTAAAGTATTTCTTGTATATTATGATAAATTTTTTAATTTTAAAATTTTACTCCGGCTGTCATGAAATGGGATAAGTTCATTATTTATTGTTGTACTTACGCAATTATCTGAATCACACAAAATTTTTTTTTATATGTGGAAACCATTGAAAGTCGCAGTATGAGACTTTAATACACTGAAGCCACGTTTTCGAAAAGTATCACAACACTCAAACCGTGAAGGTCCATTGTACTGTGTAACTCAATTCGATAATAACAAAAATTTTCGGATCCTTTCAAGAAAGTAAAGAATGTTTACAAAAGTTAATGTGCTGATATTAGCTCCACTAAGATCTACTAATAATGTCCGATGTCCTCTACTGGAGTGATTAACTCTACTAGACGATGTCAGACTGTAGTAGTTTAAACAAAGTGAATATAAGCTGTTGTCAGCGAACCCAAGACGAAAAAGGTGTTTGGTGCAGGTACTGTGACCAGTTAACGCTCTAATAGTTTACAGTGATTGCGACAAAAAGTAACAAAAAAACTTCAAGTCTATCCACTGGTTTCAGGTAGAACCAATTTGGTGTGCTTACAGTCATCGTAATTTCACCATTAATTGTTTGATTCAGTTTATATCCTACTGTCAATAGTTAGACTAACAACATATTTAGGCAATCCCAGAAATGCTTGCAGTCCACAAAGTACCGCATTGATGTCGGTTTGTGCAAGTTCGTCCGCAACTTCGTATCCTAATATGCCAAAATGGTCAAGAACGCAAAAAAGGTAAATCATTGTGTCACAAACAATGTTTAACTTACATTTGTAATCAAGAACTAGTTTTGATGATATAATTAGGTTGATCACAGCTTTAAACGCAGCTTGGCTATCACGATGAACAACGATAAATACTAATATAACTAAATACTGTATGCGTGCCATAGAGCATAGACGATATATTAATAATATTATAGTTCATTTAAACACGTGTTCTCTATTAGTATATATACACAGTCATAGATCCTATGAGACTAATCTGGAAAAATACAAAACATTTCTTATTTAAATTTTTTATTATTTTTTTTTCAATTAGTCCCCTTTCAAGTCAATACAACTTCGGAAATCTAGAATAAATTTTTTAAAACGTTTTTTGGAGTTAATTCTGGCTTAAAATTAATATAAAAGACTCAGATAACAACCTGCATTCACATATTTTAAACATGTGTATTAATCTACCGATTGCTCAAATATTCCGGTAAATTCAAGTTTATTCAAAATTCAATAGGCTGTGCTTCCCGAATTCCTAGTTTCCACTTCGATGAGCTTCGCAGGCACACAACGGTTACACAAATTGTGAATGAAATATATGTTCATTGTTTTTTTTTTAATGGTGGTGTTCGGTCATCGTTTTTAAAGTTTTCATAATTGAAGTAGGCCGAATCAATGGAATACTTGTGCGAGGAACATATATTTACTTCCACAATCAAAAATGTTTATCTGTTCGCACCTCCTAAAATAAAAATTTTTTATTAACTGTTTAAAATCTTAATTTTTTATCAACCCTTCGATTTTTAAACTTTAATCAGTCACAACCTGCGATCTCGGATACATAGAAAGAAAATGGTTTGAAAATTTGAGTTCAGCGGAGACAAATATACCCAAAACTAAAAAGGACCATTTTTTTCGCACAGTCTAATAAATGTCTAACTCTTCATATAAATTATATAAATATAAAATATCTGGTGCTTGCATAGTGCGTTCATCTTAGACAAGAATTCACGACTGCTACTAAATTAGAATTATATAACTGTAAAAACTAGAGAGAAAATAAATTTGGTTGACCCAAAAAATATACATAACTCATATTTTGCAAAGTGATTAAAATTGTTACACAAATTTGTGTTCAATTCTTCAAAAAAAAAATCCATGCACACAAATCTCCATTTTTATATATCTGTGTGGCTTACAAGGCCTATATAAGAGGACACAGTAAATGATATTTCATCTATAATCTGACCTAATTTGTAAGCACGATGAACCAGTAACGCAATATATTTTGCACATTTTTATATACATATAAACTAATAGACTTATATTTTTTTATATATATATATGTTATATACATATACAGCTTTATATTCAAGTTGCACTTAAAATGCAAACTGAAGTGAAGTAAGTAATTTAAAAGTAATGAGAAAGGAGTCGAAAAACCGCTTATGAATTCAAGTTATGAAAGTATTTGAAGTGTTGAGAACTTAGCAGAATTCTTCTAAACTATAAGATGCGTTCTTTGTAAAAGTTGTTAGGAGGCTCCTTTTTCTATTCACAGTGACCCAATTCTGAACGCTATTCTCACAAACTAGTTTCGATAAAAGCAAAACCAGCGCAACGTAATTGAACAGCCACTGAGGATTGCGACTGTAAAGTATTTTTCTTTGCGAAATAATTTTTGTTACATAAATGAGACACACCATATATTATTCTGCCATGTTTATATCTATCATCATTAGATTCAAACAAATTAAATTGAAGGAAACCGGATGGATTGCATATGTTTTTAGATTGAATAGAATTGCGCATTTACCTCACATATTTTTGATAATTAATAGAATTATACCAAATAAAAACACTCAGAGCTTGTATCCAATTGTAAAACGAATCTTTCTCTATTGCGAATATATTGCGATAAGATTTTTCTGCTTTGCGATAGTAATAATCTGTTTTTACCAGCGGAAACAAATCCATATAAAGATGTTTACAAGTTCACTATCAAGAACATGATTTTATACAAATATATAATGTAGCAATAGTACAGTTCATTATTTGTGAAGCATGTTTAATCAGATACCGATTAGTAAATATGTTTATAATTCAAATTACAGACATTGGCTTTCAAATTTAAGAAGAATAAACAAAATTTATTCATTTATTCATTCATTTATATAACTAATGATTTAGATATTTTTTCATTCTATAGATAATTATTTCATGGCATTAAAAATCAAATTTAATTATCCTTTATTGTGAGGCTTTATGCTCCACTGGGAGATGAGAATGACAGAAGAAGATACCTTATTGTAGTGTTCAGATGCTTCCATTACATTCTTGTATAACCGTAGCTTTCGTAACCCCAATCACAAGGCCTACAATTAATTTTCACCATGGCTTGCGCAATAACTGCCATGCTTTCTGGCATATATAAACCTAGATTTGTAAATGATAACCCTCATTATCCCAAGTCTTAGCCCTAATGACTGGAATAAAATTTCATCCACTGCCTTCCGGAACATTCATTTATTGCTAAGAAGGAATTTTATTAGATAAAATAACACACTAGGCGGATGATTATTTCCACCTAGAAAGAAAAAAAAGAAACAGCCGCATTGTAACAAAAATCTTTCAATAGCAAGTTCACCCACAAATGGAAAAATACTTCATTATATATAGCTCTGCTTTCTGTGCCATTACCTTTGGGTTTTGCTTTACTCTAATTCTTTTTAATCACAAAGCTACTAAGGCAAAAGTTAGAATCATAGTCTGGTTTATGGTTTATTACTCTGTAAATTTAATAAAAATATTATGTTAGTTGACATATTATCAGTTATTTGAGTTGTAGGTATTATATTCAAAAAAGTAAGTTTTTAAGCAAAACCAGTATGAATACCATCGAATAGTCAGCAATATTGCCTGATTTGATTCCCTGTGATTTTCTTCTAATAAATCAAGAAATCACTCCGAGGAACGCGTTTTATCAGAGGCGAAAAGATAATAAGAAAATCATAGACGGCTCAATAACCACACTTATCCGCTGGAATAACTGCATTTCAGTGAATAGAAAGTACTTGAAAAGAGACAATATCGCTTTTTTAAGTGAATCCTTGAAATTTTTTAATAAAATTTTTGGTATGTCAAACAAGATTTTGATTGAAGATCACATATTTTTTAAATGAATGGATTGTCATACCGAATGCTAAAGTCCCAGATATATTTTACAATAAAAGTTTGTTCGAAATCTTATATATAGTGTATTTTATTTTATTTTTCTTTGGAACGAGAAAATAAATAATCTTGTATATTACGTTATTATAAATAGAGGGTTTGTTGGATTATAAAGTTATTCCGAAAGTGAAATAAAAAAATATCGGACTGACCGTAAGAAAGCGGAAATTTGTTTTTGAAATTAATTAAAAATATATACCCTACTAGGGTTATATTGAATTGATTTTTAACGTCCGTTTTGATGAAAAAAACTAAATTCTTAATATAAATTATTGTTTTCAATAGAGAACTGTTCCGAACAGTATTAAATTACAATAATAAACTTTCATTATTTTATTAATTAATTGAATTTTTTCTGACTATACAGCTATTTCGAGTATTGCCAAATAGTCATTTGATTTAATCCTGAACATCAAAAAAGAACTACATATAATTTTCCTTTCATTCTTACTTTTTATCTCATATATACAATATTATTCAATTAACATAAGTATTTTTAATATATTTAAATAATGAATTAAGTATTTTTATATATTTAAATAATAATATTTTTATTTTTCAATTTTTATTAATATTTAAATTTCAAAAATAA